TGTTCATTTAAGAAGGCCCTCTTGTCTCTCCTTGCCATTCTTTGGAAGTCTGCATTCAATTTTCTGTAACCTTCCTTATCTCCCTTGCATTTTGTTTCCCTTCTCTTCTCTGCTATTTGTAAGCTCTCATTGGACAGCCACTTTGCTTTCTTGCAGTTCCTTTTCTTTGGGATGGTTTTTATTGCTGCCTCCTGTACAATGTCACAGGCCTCACCCATAGTTCTTCAGGCACTCTGTCCACCAAATCTAATTCCTTAAATCTGTTCTTCACTTCCACTGTGTATTCATAAGGGATTTGGTTTAGATTAGACCTGACTAGCCCAGTGGTTTTTCTTACCTTCTTCAATTTAAGCTTGAGTTTTGTTATAAGAAGCTGATGATCAGAGCCACAATCAACTCCAGGTCTTGTTTTTGCTGACTGTATAGAGCTTCTCCATCTTTGGCTGCAGATAATATAATCATTCTGATTTCGATATTGCCCATCTGGTGATTTCCATGTGTAGAGTCGCCTCTTGTGTTGTTGGAAAAGAGTGTTTGTGATGACCAGCTTGTTCTCTTGACAAAACTCTATTAGCCTTTGCCCTCTTCGTTCTGAACTCCAAGGCCAAACTTTCCTGTTGTTCCTTTTATCTCTTGGCTCCCTACTTTAGCATTCCAATCCCTTATAATGAGAAGAACATCTTTCTTTGGTGTCAGTTCTAGAAGGTGTTGTAAATCTTCATAAAATTGGTCAATTTCAGTCTCCTCAGCATTGGTGGTTGGTGCATAAGCTTGGATTACTGTGAGATTGAAAGATCTGCCTTGGATTCATATTGAAATCATTCTATCATTTTTGAGATTATATCCCATTACACCTTTTCCCACTCTTTTGCTGACTATGAGGGCTCACTATGAATGCTTACTACATTACTTTTCACCCCAAGAGGGGTGAAAAGTAATGTAGTAAGCATTCATAGTGAGCCATCAAATTAATTCACAAGTGTAAAGGATAGTGTTAAATGTACAAGATACAGTTATAGCTCTTCTGCTAAAGGTACCAATATTATTATGAAAAAGAGTTACTACCTTTTATTAAGTCATCAGTTCTTAATATAATTTTAAATTATTTTATATAAGTGTGCATGCATATTCTGGTCTTGTTCTTGCAGAGATAAGAAAGCTGTTTCACCTGTTGCTTCCAATTATAATGTATTTGGCTCTATATAGACCACCCAGTGGCATATATATTTATAATCATGTGTCAATGCTCTTGAAGCTTGTATTTGCAATAAACAAATTATTGACCTCACAAAATTATGAGTCACTCTTTTGGAGTGAGTCTGAGGTCAAAGTCACCCAGAGTAGACCTTTGGTCTAGATGGGTAGGGTATAAATCTAATAAAATAAAAAAAACAAAAAATAAATATGTATATGTGTTATTTAGTTCTTTTATATACTGCTCTAGAACTTCTAATGTGCAGCAGTTTAAAATTTCAACAAATAAGTAAACTGAGTTTACAGCTGTTAAATTACCATAGCAATAAACATTTACAGAAGGCAACATAAACAATACTTTTGAAACAAAATAGAACAAAAAAGTCCATAGAGTCAAAGAAAAACTACTGTAGTCCTATACTACATACATTGTGAGAATTAAAGAAACACAGAATACAACTATCTCTATTTCAATACAGCTGATTATTTCCAAAATAATTGAGACTGAGTAGATCTTGATCTGCAAAAGCAGAGATGCTGGAGAGTAAGAGAAATAGTCCTGTTTATCCAAGCTCTTCAGAACAATATTATGATACCAGTAGTCAATCAAATACTTTTGTTTGATCTTCTAATGTAACAGAATTTTTTTTACTGTGCTGCCAGGGCCACCACTAGAAAGACAGTCAACACTGTACATAAGGCATGTTTATCCTATGAAAAATGTTAAGGCACAAGAAATATTTGTTATTTTGTTACAAGAACAACATCTTAATGTTCTAGCTCTCAAAACGTACTCACTGCTGTACATGCGCTTCTGGCAATTTAATTTCTTTTTATTCGATCTCATACAGGGATAGATCCACCAAGGAACCTAACCATGGACAATGTGACTACAGATTCTGTGACTATCCAGTGGGCTCCTCCTATTGCATCCTTTGACCACTACAGGATAGCCTGCAAATCTGCCCAAGGTAAATTGTTCTGTAGTCCAAAGATCTGTTACTTGAAATTAATAACTCTTAAAGCGGTTTGAAGTAATGGAACGTATACTCTCTTAAACATTATTCGAACATTATGCTACAGGGTCTTTTTTCAGCACTGTATATTTTACAAAAATATATGTAAAGCAGTCTCAATAAAGCTAATGCTCTCTCCAAGACCAACAAATCTGATGTCTCCCATAAAGGAAAAATAATTAATTCTTTTTACCACAAAAGGATGAATCAAGCCAGAATTTAGATTCCTAATAGAACAACTCTGGCTTTGTCACATGAGTTTCATTGACTCATAGAACAATGGAGTTGGAAATGGCCTATAAGGCCATCAAGGCCAGACCCTGTTCAATGCAGGAATACAAATCAAAGTCTATCTGACAGATGGTTGTCTAATTTTCTCTTCAATGTATCTGTGAAGATTCTCAGTCATTCAGGTGAGGTTACCTGAAAGCTGAGTCATGGCAACTGGACTTCTTATTAGGTCGAAACATTTTGCTACTCATCCAAGTAGCTTCTTCAGTCTGAACAGATTTTCTGAACAATTTTCAGACTGAAGAAGCTACTTGGATGTGTAGCAAAACGTTTACATTCGAGGGTACAAAAAGAACTGGAAGATGTGATCTTGGAACCACTGAATGAAACCTTTGAGAGGTCCTGGAGCATGAGCAAACGGCCAGAGGATTGGAAAAGAGCTGATGTGGTTCTAATCTTCAAAAAGGGGGGGAAAAGTAGATCCAGGAAACTACAGACCAATCAGCTGGGAAAATTCTGGAAAAAATAATCAAGCAGCAGATTTGTGAGCACCTAAAAAGTAACAAGGTGATTACTAGAAGCCAGCATGGGTTTGTTAAGAACAGGCCATGCCAAACAAATCTTATTGCCTTCTTTGATAAAGTGACTAAATTAGTGGACCAAGGAAACACAGTGGATATAGTACTGTATACAGTGGAGCCTCGACATACGAACTTAATCCACATTGGAATGGTGTTCATATGTTGAGATGTTCATAAATCGAAGCAAAATTCCCCATAGGAATGCATTGAAAACCATTTAATCTGTCTGGGCTGTTTTTGGTTCTTATGTAGAGGGGCCGTTCGCAAGTAGAGGCATTAGTTCCCATACGGACTAATGCAAAGCCAGTTAATCCGTCCTCTACCAACAGGGAGAGTTTTCTTTTTTCTTCTTTTTTCTTTTTGACCTAAGATGAACTTAGGTCAAAAAAGGCCAGGAAAGGAGTGGGGGAAGGGAACACCTTCTAAACAAAAGACCTTTTAATCCAAGCACCTTTTAAACAAAACCAAGCACCTTTTAGCTTTAAAAAGGGGCAGGAGAACACCTTTTAAACAGAACACTTTTTTCTGTTCATAAGCCATCTCTACAAAGCTTCACCAGGCATTTTAAAAACTATTTGAGTTGTTTTAGTCCTTTGCGCTGTTTTCTTTGCCTTTACTGTGCCTTTCATATATGGCGTGTTTTTATTTTCTGCTGCATGTTTGGGTTTTTATTTTATATTTAATTGTGATTTCATCCTGTTTTTAAATGGATCTTTAAACTGGTCAAAGAACTTTGGTAAACAGGCAGTGTGGAAGTATAATAAATACACAAAGGAAAGAAGCACCCATTTGACATAGTCTCCTAACTACACTCCTAGTAACCAAGGCTGGCAAATCTATCCTGACAACATCTGTCCTTCTGTTTTTTAGTGCAGTTCTGTGATTAGGGGTAATGATACAATTTTCTTAATGCACACAGGACAAATTGACAGCATTGTTGTTGCCAAGAGTATCACTAAATACACTCTCAGCCACCTGCAGCCTGCCACTGAGTATGAGATCATCTTGAAGAGTGTACGGGGCAGAGAGGAAAGTGAGCCTCTCTCACACATCATGTACACAGGTATGGAATGTCTCTTTAAGGTATACAGAAAGTTTAGAGGTTTATATATCAGCATAAATGGTGGAAATATGATGGAGAGGAATCAATGGCTTGGGACAGGATTACTCACAAGGGAGATAAACTACAATAGCACAGTTACTGGGCTGTGACTTGAAGGTCACTGGTTCAAGCCTTGCCTCTGCCATGAACTCACTAGCTGACTTTAAGGCAAACTATTCCTCTCCCTGCCTCATCTCTGCCCCCTCCACCAACAGTTGCAATGGACACCAGTTATTGAAAGCTTATGAATCAAGTAAAATTTAATTCTTAAGCTTCCCAAACGTTCCTGTTCGATGTCATCTGTGTGCCCCACCATTTTCTTTTAAAAGGTTGTGAGCCCCACAGTACAGGTCTGTGTACAGCCTTTATTTTGGCTCAGAACATTTCCAGTTAAAGAACTCTTGAAAAATTTAAACTTAGAGACAAATATCAAGAATTTAATAGGGCAAATATAGTACACTTCTACTCACTTCAAGGTAAGATTCTGATTATTTAGGGGGATTAATACTGCATTCTTTCTTTGAAACAAACTTCCAAAGACATTGTCTCACTGAGAAGAATATGATAAAGAAGGGGTGAATTGGGCAGAAATAAGGAATTGTTAGTCCCTGTAGAACAGGGGTCTCAAACTGTGGCCCTCCAGATGTTCTTGGACTTCAACTCCCAGAAATCCTGGCCAGCAGAGGTGGTGCTGAAGGCTTCTGGGAGCTGTAGGCTAAGAACATCTGGAGGGCCACAGTTTGAGACCCCTGCTGTAGAAGAAACGTCCATTATTGTGATCATACAACTGGAACTTCATGCTTGCTACAGCAGCACAGACATGTCCATTGGTTCAAAACTGAATCCAACACGACAAAATGATAGTAATGTGGGCAGCAAAATATGCAGAAAAGTATCCAGTTTTCCTCCGCATCCTTATCTTGTGAATATCTGCTGCAGCCTTGGATAGACAGTGATCTATCATAATGTGCCTTTCAGGTTACACCATGATTTTTGTGAGAAGTTGTTTACTGAACTCACTCACCAAAAATACTCCCTGTTATATACTTCCCTTGCTTCTTGGAAAACGCACTTCAATAGAAACATCCTTACCAGTTACTGAAATGCAGTGGATAGTGTTAAGTTGGCAGACCTCGTTACTATTGAAAATAAAGACCAGCCTAGATGGAATGGGACAGCCTTTGCTCTTAAATTCATGTGAATACCTCACTCATAAAGCAGTGGATTGGGAAGTTTAAATGACCATGCAGATGAATCCTCCTTTCTTCCCTCTCTGTGGTGCACACTTAAGCTCCCACTCTGTGCCTAGTTGACATCCACTATCGAAGCTGGGACAGAAGAAAAGGAAATGAAACAAGAGACTCTGGGAAGGTTAGCTAGGGAGGGTTCAGCTTATCTCCCCTATGAACTCCTTATGGTGTTCAAATTAGATTCCACTCCCTATTTTTAATGAGAATGAGTCAGATACAGGAATCATAAATGTTGCTGTTCCATCACACACAATTTGGCTGACCTAAACTCAGGTTCCAGAACTATGACAAGTTTTGCTTTTAATGATTTTTTTTTTAAAAAACACTCTTTTTTCCCCTTTGTGTGCAATAGGTTGCCATTTGGGTACTTGCTGCAAAATGTTGTTTCTCTGTAATACATTCTAGTTTTCTATTATGGCTTTGTTCCATGATTTGGGGGACTTTTATATCCCTTTGAGCTGTTCCTTTGTTTTGATTTCTTTGTTTCTTCTAATGGCTACAAATAAGTGAACGGCTGCTTTTTTGCACCTTTTCTAGCTATGGATAATCCAGAGAGTTTGACTGCCACAAATATAACCCCAACAGAAACCCTTTTGAAGTGGGACCCACCCACAGCTGAAGTTGAGAATTATGTCATCGTGCTGACTCATGACACAGGTATGTCTGTGCCTAATGTTCAGTCCCCCTGAGGGATGGCAGGAGCAGCCTAGGACAAGCTGGAAGAAGTGACCAGAGGTTTTTTGTTTTTTTTAAATCAACGATTAAGATGGCTGAGGAGAGAAGCAGCAGCAGCAGAAAGAGTAGATTGATGTACTGTATAATATCAGGAAAGGAAGTCATACCTGAAACAGGAGGCTCAAGCTACCATATTATATATTATCTCTTCCAAAATATGGAGCTGGTAGCTGGTTGTCTCCTGTGCTTATGCTAAAGTTTGTTTTGTAATTGAATTGGAGATACTAGAGAGCCAGTGGAGTTCCTGCTGCCCATTAAATCCCAAGGCTCAGACCTGACTGCCCAGTCTTTCTGATGCTGCCTGAGGGGAGAATCACATGTTCCAGTCTACCCACCCAGTGTATGGTTTGCCTCCACATTGCCAAATCTGAAAGCTAAGGTGGTGAGAGAATAGGATAGCAATGCAGAGTATACCTCTTAAACATGGAGATATTTGTTTTCCCCTTTCTTTTCTTTATTTAACTAAATGGCTCTTAGGTTTTCAGAACTTTCAAAAGTATCTCCATTCCCATTCCACATGCTTCTGTTGCATAATGGTTTTTCAGCCATGTTGACAGAAGAGAGGACCATAGAAATAAAAAACTATTAGTAACCAATTATCCATTGATGTCACTATTGCCTGTCAGAAGTAAATTACTGCAAGGGGAAACATAAGGTCAGTATATCATGGTTTTGTAGTTCGCTTGCCACATTCTCCACGTCTACCGTGGTTTCTGCTGTAGTAGATGGATTTGCACAATCCTTTTTCCTCCACCAGGAAGTAATCTCTGTTTTTCTCCTTTTGGTGTAGCGCTCTGTCTTAGCCATCTCCATGTTGATCCCAGTCTTGATTAATAATTCATGTGCAATTTCCAGTCGTGAGCCAGTGAATTCATAAGACCTGATTTCTGAGACATGTTAAATTGGTGTCAGGTTGTAATCTAGCCAAAGGCTGACAAGGCTGGAATCTCCAGCCGAGGCAACTGTCAAAATTCACTTTGATGTCTGAACAGACTTCTGAAATTCCACCCTCAGGCATTCCCTTTCCATATGACGTCGCATGGGCTTGCAAACAGTAAAGTTCCTTTCATTCCAGTTGAGTCCTGCACTCTAAAAGGTCTTCATTTGAACAAGCCTTGTTTTGTACAAGTCATCTTCTGCTTTCAGTTGCAGGAGAGACTATTTTAGTGGATGGAATCAATCAAGAGTATCAGCTTATCAATTTGCTTCCCAGCACCAGTTATGGAGTCACCATGTATGCTACCAATGGACCCATCACCAGCAAAATGATCTTCACCAACTTTACAACTCGTAAGTGCAACATCTGTGCTAGGATGTGTGTTGTTTTCCTTTGAGGAAACCCAACCATACTATTAGTTGCTTTAGGTAATCCAGATTTATATTCTTAGATACTTCCACACCATTAGATTTGGATGTGGAGACTTAACTGACATGTTTTCATTCATGTATTAAATGTGTCCCTTCTACTCTTTCAAGTGATGTTTTCCATTTTCAGTGAAAGAAATCACCATCATTTCAATGATAGAGAAGGTTGTTATGCAGTAATAGCCAATTTCTTGAGCACTGAGACGAGACCTCCATTGGTCCATGTGTTCCGTAACTATGTTCTCCATAGCCCAGAGCATTCGAGGGAGGTATATAAGTTGAAACAACAACAACAACCATAATGTGAGGTTGAAGAACCCTACTGATTTGTTGTCACACTTGTCCTTTGTTGAGAAATTACTCCTCTTTCTGTGACACTGTGTGTGTGTGTTTTAAAAGAATTAATCATTCAATAAATATGTCTCTTCCTTTGATTCTTTTCCCAACATTTGCAGTTTTAGATCCTCCATCAAATTTGACAGCAAGCGAAGTGACTCGACGGAGTGCACTTCTTTCTTGGCTGCCTCCCATGGCTGAGATTGAAAACTACATAATGACCTATCGGTCACCTGATGGAAGCCGCAAGGTCAGTCCTTACTCCAGAAAGTCTATGACATTAGAATGGAAGGCAAGGATCCCTCAGTTGAGTTTGTTGGTCCTGTGCTTTGGCTAGAGGGTAGTGATTCCAGAGTGGGCTTTTTGTATAGCATTGTATATTATTACTACATTGGCAGCTGTGTCCTGTCACAGACTCATTACCTCTTGTGATGCTAGGAATCAGGGACCATACATTTAGCTTCATATCATTGCAGTATTGCATAAGAACCAGAGATAACTCTCTGCTGATATAATTAAGGGTAAAAAAAATCCCAGAATTTAATTTCCCTTTAAAAAATCATTTAAAGCAGGAATAAATAATTCTCTGCTGGGGGGGGAATATGTACATTTGAACCTCCCAGCCATCAAAGGGCCGCACTTTGACCAACCCCCCCTACTTCCACAGTTACACTGAAAGTCAACTCTAGCAAGTATCTATGGTAAGCAGCTGCCACGGCCCCTTTGTATACCTCAAAGCCTTACAGAATGGAAGGGGAGAATTTTTCCTTTTCTTCAGAAATGAAAGATTAAAATATACTTTCTATGATGCTTGGTTCTTTCACTGCCGATTTTACCAACATTAGTGGATGCAAAATAGGCTGCAAACATGAGGAAGGGGTGCTTTAGATTTTAAGAAGCAGAGCTTCTGTTTGTATAGGCTAACAATAACTAAGATAGCAAACACATGCACAATAACCAAAATATAAAACACTTGCCCTCCCTTACCACTCTGAGATTTAGATATTAACCTCCAAGTTCTGAAGCATCATGCCTCTGAATTATCAGGGGATGAGATACAAGTCCTGCTGTTGACCTCCAACGGCATCTGGTTGGCTACTGTAGAAGACAGTAAATGAGATGGGTCTGTGATCTGCTAGACTGGACTCTTTTATTCTTATATGTCATCCTGCAAGATAAGAAATAATACCTGGCAGATCGGAAGTAGAGAATAGTGAAGTGGATTGCTGTTAGTGAGAAGGCCTCAGTAAAGCTCTTTCTTTGTTGAGGCCTATCGCAAAGGTATGTACATATACAGTATATGGAAGTTAATATCTGTATGTGTATATCTATAAACACACACATACACACATTAGTGTAGTTTATGAGAAAACTAGCCAACTAATCCCATCAGCACAGCGGTGTTCCCATCACTTTAGTCTTCTTTTTTTAATTCTTCCCTGCTTCTTTGGGTCATCAGTAGGCCTCAGAAAAGTAGAATTAACTCTTGAATACTCGCACTAGGCAAATACTGTAATAGAAGTATATTGTGCCTCTAGCAGTCTTTCATATTTTCAGGGGGTAGGAAATCACTGCAGATAGAATAATTACCGGTAATCTGTTGCCAAATTAAAACCCAAATTGTTAGGTCAGAATGTAAATTATATAATAGCATCCAACTATATTTGCTTTAATGTATGTTTTCTAACTAGGCAGCTTTTTTCCAGGATTATTTATTTATTTATTTATTTATTTATTTGTTTGTTTGTTTGTTTGTTTGTTTGTTTGTTTGTTTGTTTGTTTGTTTGTTTGTTTGTTTGTTTGTTTATTTATTTATTTATTTATTTATTTATTTGATTTATACCCCGCCCATCTGGCCTAAAAGGCCACTCTAGGCGGCTTCCAGTGAAAACAGTAAAATAATACAAAGAGTTACATAAATCATAATTATAACATACACAATACAAAAATAGAACTAAAA